GGTGCTATTGTAGTGGTTTTCTATTGATTAAAGGATGGAAGGATAGAGTGGTAGGTGTTTGTAATAAAATGAGCAGTGAACACCCTCAGCTCCATCTATGCCTTCAAAGAAGACCTAACAATTTCAGTGAAATAAAAATATTAATACAATGCTTGTTCTATTTAAAGATTTAGAGACCAGTGGAAATGTGTAACTGCACACAACCTTTTTTCACATCGGTTGTGCTTCCATGAACGGATGAATCAGATGTTTGCGGGCGCATTGAAAACATTTTTTTAAAGAGAACCCAGTTAAAACTTGGTAATGGATGTGTTTTCTAAGGATGTAATGAATTATCTACTATTGTCATCATAGCTTCACTATAATTAGGAGATAATAGTGGCATCAATCAATTATATTTTGAGTTCCAATGGTGGGGGTGTCTTTTTTGTGAGAAAAAAAGACACCACTCTAGCTTTCTGGAAGTCCTAGATATGCCACTACTGTGAGTATGAGTGGTAGCATAATCAATGCATTTCAGATGTTAGAAACGGAAAACAGCAGCGGTAGCTCTTTGGCTAATGCTCTTTACTGAAAGAGTTAGTGTAAAACTGCTACAAGGTAATTATATGTTAATATGTATTTTGCAAATGTCTGTGCTTCATCTAGAATGTCCAAAAGATGTTGATGTGAATCGTTAGCTTAGCCCTAATAGACTACTCGAATCCCATAGAGGGACTGGTAGAAATTAGCATTAGGGTTTTTCCCCTTGTTTCGAAATTTACAGCAAGTGAATTATCTACTATTGCTATATATATATATATATATATATATATATCTCAGCATCATACCTTTCAGGCCTAGACATTGGGCCAGAACTTGTTTATGAGCCTCTGTGTGTGACGTTAATACATAAAGACGCATGATGCAGTACAAAAAAACTCCCATTAAATCCAACCTGACACCTCTGACTTTTAAATGACTATTTCAGGCTTTACAGGGTGACTCGCAGCAGCGCACACACACACTCATCATATTTTAGTGTGTTTTATTTCCCCGGACTCAGTAATGCAGCTTTAATTAACAGGATGCTCGGTTTATTTATATAGAAATTGAAACAGCCTCCTACTCCAGAAAAAGAGGTCTGGCCACAGTGCTGGCTGAGGTATGCGCCTGGTGGAACAGAGTGTAGAGGAAGGGCAGAAGAGAGTATCTGAGCGTCATCACACTCCTCATGGCCACCTGGGCCTGCTGTCCGAACACATAGGGCTCCTGTGGCTAGGATACACACATATACACACACTTACACAAAAGGTCCAGGTTACCATTTACATATATATTACACTACAGCACATGTGGTGACTCCAGTGTTCCATAGTGTAGTGCAGTTTAGTGTAGTTTAAATGTCAAGTAATGAGCTTTGTATGGAGTACTGTACAGTAAGGTTATGGGCTGTATCTTACAGCATTGGGTCTGTCGTTGTGGTTTCTCATGAACGGGTAGAAAGCTCCCAGCTGTGTCCAGCGCACACACAGCTCCTCACTAGTGTCTCCTTCAAAGCCACAAATATCTGCCCCAACCAGAGGAACTCCAAACAGACTGAAGAGGAGCACAGCTGAAATACCCACACAACAAACAAAATACAATCAATATGTACTCAGAGAACACTGCTGTAAAACATTGCTAATTCTAACATCTTAATAATCTTTATAATCTTGCTTCTAATAAGGGTTTTAGAAGGTGTAAAGCACAATTGAATGGATTCCAGAGCACATATAAGGTCTTATTAGACAGTGAAAAGCTAAGTTTTTAAACCATTTTTCACATCCGTATTGTAACATCACAACACATTACCACACATAATACTTTTGCCTGTTTCCCTGTACTTAGAAAACACTTGGAAGTTACTTCACTAAAACTCATTTTTAATAGAACCCACCAGGCAGGAGCTGAATTCCATAAATAAATGTTTGAAATATGTAACTACAGCAGTGTGCAAAAGTCAAATCCTTTATTTACTTCATTTCCAGTCAAAATGGCCATTAAGTGAAAGTTATTCATTTTTCAGGTGTTATATTTCTGAGGAGATTAGATACAAGATAAACCACTTATACTGAAGGGAATAGCAAAGGAGAATCTGTGAAAGTACAGGGGTTTCCAAAACTTTTTTATAACCAATTTATAGCAAACAATCGCAATACTGGTCAGAAAAATCCCTATTAGATATTTTTTCCTAAATCGCTCAGCCCTAGTGAGCAGACAACTGTGTAATTTCCTGTTAAATATGTTTTCTGCTTGCTTGCCTGAAACTGAAACTTGTACTTAATGGCTGTTATAAATATTATAAATGCTATAAATATAAATATCTGTTATAAATATCTGACTTCTACAAAGTACAATGTGTAACACAAAATCACAGTTTCAACCGATACACTCTGACAAAAATAAGTTTCGTACAAATGTTTATTGACAGAATTCAGCAACTGTGTTTTAAGTCAACAGATGTTCTGTTCTTTTCTAAGTACAAGGAAACAAATCACAATCACTGTCAGTACTAACTGACCACACGCTACAGTTGCAGATGGAGAACAGACTGAACAGTGCTGACACAAATGTTTTTAAGTGGGTTATACCACATGTAGACAAATGTAGATGACTCAGAGGTTCTCAACTTTGTGCTGCTACACTGCTTGAAACTACAGTACTGTCTTACCCGGGATGGAGTAGCGGAGCTGCTCCCAGTCACTTCGCACATCACCTGTCCAGTGACCAGAGAAGCGACCCAGCCCAGGGAATGAGGAGCGGGACAGCACGAAGGGCCGAGAAGCCCTCACTTTCAGCAAAGCTCTGAAGAAACAGAACAGACAACCTGTCTAAGGCAAGTTCTTCTATTTAGTAGTTTTATAGATTTATAGTTTTATATGCAAAATGTGTGATAAACATTTATAACTGACAAGTGAGGATTTAATCTGGTGGAATCAATGTAGAATAAAGTACATACTGCATAATCTTACTCCAAGCAGTTAGTAATTAATGTGTTCCTTATTTAAATTTTATTAAATAAATTAAATAGTAAGCATTTCTGTCAAGAGATGTAATACCATGTCTGACCTGTAAGTGGCCATCGCCTCAGTCAGCCCATACAAGTTGTGCAGGTTGTAATGAGTGGACAGAGTCTGCTGGCTGGACATGCACAAGGTGCCCGAGTTTAAACGACCTCCTATCATATCTGCAGAACCACAGACAGCTCCTCATATACAGGCCACAGATAGTTAATAAGAAATGACTATGAGTTACGTCAAAAAAGATCAAGCCAGCAGACACTTTAAACAGAATGAACTAGAGCTGAAATGAATATTCTGCATTAACGATAATGGTAACAAAAAAGTGAACAGATATTTCCTTTATCAATTGTTCATTTACATTTTCAAAGCAATGTAGAGAGAATTAACAACTTATCCTAAAGAGGGCAGCAACTGACTTGCAGTGTCGTACCAATGTGAGCACAGTGAAAGAAAAAGAACAATTTTGGCTAAAAGTTAAAAAAGAAGTAAAATCTGGTAGCATTTTCTTAAAATGAAGAAAACGTAATCACAACATATGCAGATCTTGCTTAGATTCAATGAAAGCACAACGCTACCTTCTATACCTGAAAAAGAAAACAAGCTGGTGTTGAAGCAGCCGATGGTCAGTAAAGGGACAAACCTGAAGTTAGCTTCTGACAGGTTCCAGAATGTAACTGCTGCATGATTTAAGATAGAACGGAAATTTTAAATATGAAGCTGGCCAATAGGAAGCCAACTTCAGCCTCACAGTTAATGGTAGCTTTCCTTCCATGCCAGTGTTCTGACAAACTGAACTATTCTCTGAGGACGCACAGTCCACTTAGCTAATGTTACCCTCACAAACATCACTAAATCTCATCATGTTATATTACCAACATTAGATACTGGTTTATTCTAAGCCATATCAGTGTCTGTTAATTAGAAGTTTTTAGCAGCCTACATCAAAAACTATTTAAGATTCAGCAGCTCATCCTGTCACAGCATTATATGTGTTAGCTATTACAAAAAAATGGTTAATTAGCTTCAAATACAATTCATTTTTCAAACAGTTTTCACATTAAAAAAAATACCACCTGCGTTCTCGTCCTGCAAACCAGATCACACTAGTTCGTCTAGTGAACGTGCACGTTAAAATGTTGAACTGGTTAGGCGATCCTGCAGTATGAACAGTTATATCATTAATCTATGTATTTATCGTGATATCACTTCTTTTTAGTCATAGCAGCTCATAATACTCAGAATACATTTTAGAACACTCTACACCTTTACAGGCCACATTTAAGCCAATTAATCAATTACTAGTCCATTAATTCACATGAATAATCAAAATTCTTTTTTTGCAGAGAGAAGAAATGAATGAAACTGAAATACTGCCAAACATGCGTATACTAAAAAAAAACATGTCCTCAGCACAATTAGCAGCTCCGTGCAGTAATACAGGCAACTATCTGCCACCATGTGGACCTATCACAGTCAGGGGGAGGTCTCAAAACAAACAACATAGTAATTAGGAGTTTTGCTCCGGACTGTATAATCTCAAGCCATCACATCATTTTGGCCAAACACATTGTTTTCATTTGAAGTATACTGCTGGCTTTAGCGTACTGACCTGGAACATAAGGAGGATTCTCTAGGTCACTGTCAGGGCATCCATATACAGAGCCTTGAACAAAGTTAGCAGGCTCATTCATATCCTGCAAGCATAATGTCACAGTTACAGCAAATGTAATGAAAAGAAGACGCACTGCTGTACTGAAAAATTACCACATTACAATTTGGCAGAATCAGCCCTATTCAGACCAGAAGAATCAGCATGACTCTGGGAGAAAGAACACATACAGGGTAATGAGATTATGAGTTAGACTTACTATCCACAGGCCGTCTAGTGGCACCTTCGCATAAAAGTCTCTGATGCACTCCTCCCACCAGCTCACCGTGTCTGGCTTAGTGAAGTCTGGGAATGCAGTTGGACCGGGCCATACCTGACAAATGCACACATGTAAGGTATGTTAACTCGCATTTCTTTACGCAAACATATTCTTGTGCAAAGGTTTTACATAAGCATTGTATGTGCGTGTGTATATACATATATATATATATATATATATAAAATCACAATGCCTTATTTCAATATTTCATTTTCTCTCAATATATCAGAACAGATATACACCAGCAAGCCAGTAATGTCACTTTTCCAAAAAAAAAGTCACAGTACATCTCTACATCCAATTATGCATTCTCTGAGCACTGTACAGGCCTGTAGCAATAATAACGTAATTGCCTGATCGCAATTAGTTGAGCTGATCATACTTATTTGAGTTGATTGCAATTATTTTCCACAGTTGTTAGCCCGATGTTTACGTCACAACAAACAGAACGTGAATTGGGTGTGTTTTCATCCATCGGGTTGAGGCAAATACATGTAAGTAGTGGAAAATGTTTGTTTTTGACGTTACCTAATAATGCCTTAAGAGGGCAGTGGTGAGAAATGTTGGCTTATTTGAACTGGGGCTGTGTCTGGTCAGCTGGGAGTTACTAAAAATCAACAGCCTGGAAGCAAGATAGCTAATCAGCCAATTTGGTCATCTTAGGGTAGTTGCGTAAAATAAACAAAAAAGACAGTGAAACTGTCAATCATTACTATGTATATGGCAATTCATCATCAGCTACAATTTCATGATCATGACAGGCCTTAAACAGGTCACACAGGAAACTGTAAAAAGCTGTGCCACTTGGGATCCACAATTAGGTACCTGTCAATAATATACACAGTTCAGTGTTCTTGAAGTACAAAAACATTGAACTGCATGTATTATTAGAAAGAACAATACCCATGATATAGTTGGATGGAAATGTTTGAAATTACATATGTTGTTGATTTTCTAAGTGATTTTCAAAGTTAAATATGGCATTTTCTGCAGCTTTTAGAGCAAAATTTCTATTTTTTTGTTGAGTTTAACATAATTGAAAAACACCACATAAAAGTATAAAATGTGCCATAACTTTTGCACAGGCAACATTTTGTGTTTTTTTTTTCTCCAATATGTTAATGCTACCTTAAAATAAAAGCTTCAAATCCATTTTGATGGTACACTGACTTATAAGAGGGAGAATGGTCTCTCTGTCATCTGGGCATGGAACACTTGCTACTGCACTATGTAACTTTGGTGAAGCGGGCACAAGACCTCTCACGAGAGCTGTGCAACAATTTACAGTGCCACGTCACACACCAACAACCCTCGATCTTCAGCTAGCTATAAGAAGAAGCCAGCTTGGTACTTCCAGTATAGACATCAAAATGCAATTTGTATTTATGACAGAGGTATAAAAGTGAATTGCACTCTACAACTGTAATGGGGCCCCAGTAGCAAAAAATACCTTTATGCTTTCATTTTGGTAAATACACAGTAGCTAAAATATGCCCAAACTTTTGCATATGATGTAATTTATCACAATACTGATATTACATATCATCCATCCCAAAAAGCAAACAAAACAAAAACAAAAAACAAGTGTCAAACGATCCCATCTTTAAGACATAAGAAGTACCCACCTTCCCAATGAGCGTTTGTCCAGTGAGGTTTCTGATGAACACTCCCCTCCGCTCTCCCTCATCAAATGGTTTGTATGTACCTGGGGGGCTTGTGCTGCTGATGCCTGGATCCTAAAATAGATCATATCTGTGACCATAACACATGTAATAATACAATTCAAATAATACATGTGATTTTATATAGTCTTAAGTTTGGGTGTGAATGAATTTTCCTGCTCACTAGATGCACAAACACTATTATGCACTTTAAATTTAAAGGTTCCAGTAAAAAGGTTCACAGCGGTGGTGAAAGGAACCGGGGCCTTATTGCAGAAACATATCTTTTTCAAAAAACCTGAGCCAATAATTTTCTCTATAGTGAACCATTTCACATGAAACCACCCTGAATGACTTTATCACTGATGAAATAATGTAGAAATTTATTCCAAAGAACCATTTTTGGCACCTGTATATTTTGATAGTGAAAATATCTGTGCTGGTTTTTATTTTTTGTTTAAATCTGACAGATAGATCTAAAAGGGCACTCTGGCCAAATAACAAAAAAGTTAACAATTACTACAGCTGTTGTAAACATGCCTTCTTACCTCATAAAGCAGTGCCACAGTAGTCTCCAGAGTCAGATGTTCCAGTTTAAAGGCTGTGAAAACCCCTTTCTGATTATGTATTATGAAGGTGGGAGACACTTTTGGAAAACAACAACTGCTTTGGTGCAGAAACTTCAGGGCAGGATGTTTCAGTTTTTTTCTTTTTTATTTTTTGATAGCTGCCTATGCAGAATGAAGCCAAATTACTGCTAAGAAGCTGTATGTCTTTGAAATATCTGAATATATTTGAAGAGAGAAGGCATTTTCTATTTCAGCACTCCACAGGTGTTCTTCAATTGAATTGTGTTTTCATTAAATTAAACAGCTAACTAACACTACAGCCGTATTTATTAGGCTCTAGATTAGTTGTTAAGCTAGCAGTCAGGATTGATTCAGCACTGCTGAGATTCCCAATAGTTGTATTTTTATAAAGCATGTTGGTTACTGTAGTAACAGAACACAGATGAATGAAAATGCCAAAACGATACAGAACTGATACAAAAACAGAATTTGAGTTTGAGGGATGCAATGTGGCACCACAGAATATTAGAAAACATGATAAATAGCACATTAAATCACAGTTCTAGACCAGAACACTCCTTTGAACTGTTAGACTAGCTATTGTTTGTTGACAGTTCATCTCTGCAGTGAGATAAGAGTAGACTAACCTGCTTACCAAAATCAGCACATACTTCATTCCCTGCTGATGGAACTCTTTCACCATCTCCGGCAAGTCTCCAAACCTCTGTGGGTCAAAGGTGAAGACTCTTCTCTTGTCAGCATAATCAAGATCATTCCACTGCACATCCTAGTGACATAGACATGCAACACCATATCACTTATATGACATCAGTGACATAAAAGTATATTAATGTTTTCTTCAGACAACATAAACATGGTCACATTAACTCCTTCACATTACTTTATTTAACTAAATAGAATCTCATGTTAAGCACTGGTGCAGTAAATGGTCAAAGACTCTATGCAAAGCTTGTCATAAAGTTACACACTAGAGGAAAGTTGGCCTTGTGCATCTTCTGAACCACCGCTCTAGTAGCATTTGTGGAGGTATAGCCCCAGCGGCAGAGGTGGAACCCCAATGACCAGTAGGGTGGCATCATGGGATAACCTAGAACATTATGAAGGAATTATACACCCTAAACAAGTTTAGGAGCGGTGACATGTACAGTACTGTGCAAAGTCAGAAACCACCCTTTATTTAATTAATTTCCAGTGAAAATGACCTTTAAGAACAACTTTTTTATTTTTCAGGAGATATTCTGAGGAGATTAGATATGACAATTCACTTGCATAAGGAAGGGAAAATAAAATAAATTGACTTTTAACAACTGTGCAAGACCTGGTAGATCCCCAAAACCATCACCATTAGATAAACAGTGCTCAAAGCTTTCATCTTTGAAGATCTGAAATATTCCACAGATATTTCTGTCAATCCTTCCACTGTAAAAAGACAACTCAATGCTATATACCTGAAAGGATGCACAGCTGTCAAGAGGCTGCTGCTGAGAAAAGGAAATAGATTAAAAAGAAGAACATTTGCAAAGCAAACAAAGAAGCTGCTGCTGTTCTATGAGCAATGGATTGACCGCTCCAAAGTCCAGACTTCAACGTTACTGAATGTGTTTGGGATAACTTGGATCATGAAAAGCAGAACTGTAACCAACTTCTAAGACTAAACTTTGCAAATGTGGAAAAATATCCCTGTAGATTTCTTTGAAAAACTGAAAACGAGTCTACAAAAAAAGAATCGAGGCTATAATAAAGGCAAACGGTGGACACTAAATACTGAAAATTTGACATTAGATTTAGTTGTTTTTTTCCTGACACTGAAAAATGAATAACTTGCACTTAATAGCCATTTTGACTAAAAAATGACATAAATGAAGGATGGTCTCTGACTTCTGCAGCTTAATTTAAAGCAATTAAGGTACATTAAAAAGTAAAACAAAACAGCAGTAGCTTTCCTGGAGCCAAGATTTTGTCAATAACTTTGTCCTTTTTTTATAAAAAATAAAAATATGTCATAGAGAGTCAGAAATCACTTACTAACTCAACATGGTTTGAGGTAAGCGTGTGATGATTTGGCATGCAATTTGCACAGTGCTAATTAGTGGGGTATAAGCTTCCATTACTTGTTAGCTGTATTAGCCTCATAGCTTTAGAGCAAGACTAATGAAGTAAACTAAAACATATCTTGATTGACTGATAACTTAATGATTTGAGGTTAGAGGAAAATTTGATTTTGTTACAAATTTCCTTTAAGTAAAAGCTGGACATGCCGCACCGATAACGCGATGGTACTGTCGGACTACACTCTGTGGATCAGGGCCTAAGAAGATGTACAAGTCCAGAATCCCTCCAGTGGTCACCCAGGTTAGTGCTGGACCAGGCTGCAATGCCACTTCTACATGGACACATGACAATAAACACAACATAAACATACAATATACAAACAAATGAGCCATTTAAAAAGCTAAATAAAGGAGTAGTCACTCACCCATGGCATTACTATTAAGAAGGAAGATCCCATGAGCCTGACCATCACCCTCCTGAACCAAGCAAAATGGATGGGACCCATACAAGTTGGTATCACTCTGCAAATAAAAATAATATGGAAATATTAGTAGAATCAGAATACATTCCAAATGGGGGCTCGATTGGTGGTGTACCGACATGTGGTGCCATATCTCTGTTCCACAGAGTGATGGAGGTCCAGTCGAGGTCCAGTGTGAGGCCAGTGTAGTGCTCCCCAAATCCAGACACTACAGAAGAGGCTAAAGTGGTGGAGAGCTGCAGGTACTGGTCTGCAAACAGGAGGGGTGCTACTGTGGTATTCAGCCTATGAAGCACACAAACACACAAAGGACCTAAATATGGCACTCGTGAAAGAGCTCCAGAAGGGCTGAAGTTCAGAATCAGCATTATTCTTATAGGCCTACAAGGCATTATAATTTACTCAATTAGAAAGCATACAACAAAAGAGAGAGGGCAAATATTCTACAGTTTTCTTACTTTATTTATTTATTTATTTTTTTTATTTTGCCCACTTTTAACATTTGTGTGGTTTTATGTACCAAAGTCATAATTCATTTTAAATTACTTTTATCACTAGAATTAAACTGGCCGTTTTTGTTATTGTGCCTTTGAGACTGATGTATGTAAATGAGACTGATGTATGTAAATGTCTGATTGGCTGCCCTGTGTTTTATACTTCTTCAAAAAGCAGTGCAGGCCTTATAACTATAGCGTGAATGAGTGGGGCTGAAGGCTGGATATGTGTAAATGCACTGGTTTCATAACATCACAAAAACAATGAACTGAAAAGTGGCTGTTTTTGCTGCTTAGTTTCCATATATGAACTGGAGAGTCAATGATGTGTTTTAAAACCTAGCAATGTTTACATACTACATCAAACTCTTTTATTTAAAAAAAGCAGGGAAAATAAAGTTTTCTATGATATGGACTCTTAAAAGAACACTTACCAACTGCATGTTACATTAGAAATAGAGCATAATTAGGCCTTGGTTATTGTGTTTTGTGCAGCATTTTACATGAATTGTTAAATAAAAAAGATTGTATCTATCTTTTTATATGTATTTGTTGGTCATTTTTTTAGGTGAAGCAATACTCTTTCTTTTTCTGTTTTAACTTATCAAACCTTAGGAAATCTAAATATCATGATGGATATCATATCGAGAAGTAATAATATTATTTGTGACATATCGCCCACCCCAATACATCAAACCCTTATCTTTTCTTAAAAAGCAGTTCTTTCAATCATGACAATTTGTTCTTAAAGCTTCTAGACACAGTACTCACAGCACTCGGCCATTGGATCTGCGACGTACAACAAAACCAAAAGGATCCGGCTGGAACTCCACATCATACAGGAGAGTCTGCATGTCTGTAGGTGCGCTGGGAGGCACTGCAGCGAAGGGCACCTCATATCGAGCATGAAAGGGATCTTTCAGCTGTATTAGGGAAGACATTACAAGAAGACAAATAATATTGATACAGTTTCTACATTTACAGTAGCAGTCAAAAGTTTGCACCCTCCTGATCATGAAAGGGTTTTCCTTATTTGTATTAGTTTCCACATTTTGGAATAATAGTGAAGACATCAAACCAATGAAATAACACCCCACTGTTATGCTGTCAGTTCTGAGTAGTTACAAGTCTGGGGTCAGTTCAGTGACATTAGTAATCCAGTCCAATTTTGGGCGCACCTACTCATATCAAGTTTTTCTTTTTCTTTTTCTTTCAATTCTTCCCAGCTACAAATACTCTACGAATTTGCAAAGGTAAGTGGTCAGAGATTAACAACTCCCAGCAGATTAGTAATGATATCAAGGTGGTTTAATGCTGAATTTTTCAGTACTATGTGTTAGATGCTGACCTTTTGACTTTTTTGGGGTGTTTCAAGCATTTTGGCAGGTTTTGAACATTTTTTGGTAACCCTGTGCCCTCCATACAAAAATATAAATCCTCTTGAAAAGGGAGGAAACAGACATCTAGACACTTAAGTTACTCACAGTGAGGTGCAGACGCCCTGCCTCCTCTGCCATCACTTCCAGTTTCAGTGTGGAGATGTCTCGGGGCAGGTAAGAAGGAGTGGAGCGAATAAGGGTGGCTTCCTGACCCCTAGGAGTGGGAATAAGTGCTCCCATTCTGTAGCCTGGGTAAGAAACCGGGTAGAAGCACCAAGGCGGCCCACCAAATGTAGACTGGGGCAAGGGCACATAGCAGCAGCCTCGCTTCTCACACGCTTCCCGTGTCAGTGCACGGTCCCGGCCACACTCAAACCTCCTCTCCACAGCAACACTGCAACTCTTTTCAGTGGGCAGCTGATCAGTATTGACATCATCTGAAATGTTTTCTACCTTGTATTGGAAGTAATCTCTCACTCTTGGGACATCTGACCCATACTTTGTTCTTAACTGTGATTGTGATGTCACTTTTACTGTTGTTTCTTTGTGATCATACAACAGGCTAATGAATAGGCAAGATGATAACGTGAGAGTCAAAAACGTTAATAAGATGCGATGTGGAAACCCACACCAATTCAGAGCCATTATCGCAGGGGCTTCTCGGGTTCTTCAGACATGATCCTTGCAGGTTAGGGGGTCTGTTAGGACTCTGAAGCCACTCCAGGTCACCATGAATACACCTGAGAGGAAAAATGGCTGTAATACTGTAAGACTTCTGTAATACTGAGTCTTAATTTAGAATCAGTACTACAAAAGTAACTTAATTCAGTACAGTGACTCAGAAGCTGTGAGCTGAGGTTTAGTAGCTCTCTTCTCGTAAGGAAGCATTTATAGCTCAAGACTCATTCCTGAACATTTCCCTCTTAGTCGAAATAAACACTTATCACCGCACAAACGGCACGAAATAAAGCTTCTTCAGAACCGTTAGAGTCTGTTGTTTCACTTTCACGGTTGCCGACAGTTCAGGAAGAGAATTTAAAAACAGAGAGAAACCGGAACTAGCGCGCGCATATGTTCGAGTCTGTCACGCTTTAATAAAAGTCTCTCATATTAATCTGAAAATATTGGGAAAAAAAATTAAACTGTATCGATTTATTATGTTAGCTGCTAAATATATTTTTGTGTTTCTTTATGTATAATTTGAAGTTATGAAGGTAAATTTACAAATATAGATTAATATACTAGATTATTAAAAAATATTTTACAAATATTTTACATTTTGTATGAACACCAGTATATTAGTATTAGATCAGTTTATACAAATGGACAAACATAATATACTTCTAACTTACAATTACTGATCATTCTACTTTTGTTTTTTAACAATACAAAGATTAAATAAAATATAGAAAAAATTAAATATGAGTACATTTCAGTGGATACCATTAACAGCACTCTTGAGAAAAACAAACTGTGTTTTGATGAACCTTCTCTACACTTTTGAAAAAGATCTACTACAGAAATTTCTAGTGAGTTCCTGAAAGAAACTTATGATAAAGACAAAGTACAGTTTTCTACAGGACAGTACACAATTCTAATGATTACTGTAAGATAGCACTACAGGAATATTAGATGGAAGAAATTAGATTATTGTTTATTATATAAGTGTTAGATAGCACATATAGTCGTTTACAAAAGTCTAAGCATCCCTGGTCAAATGACGTTTTGTTGATTTTCTAAGTAAAAATGATTTACAAACATCTTCTGTACATTTTAATATAGAACTTTTTGTTAACACTTAATATACAATTACTTTTTTATTTTTTGCTGAGGTTAATGTATTGGGGCAAATTTTTACTTAGAAAATCAACAAAACATGTCATTTGATGAGGGGTATTTAAACTGCACATCTTATGTTCGGTTGTAGTATTACTACAGTTCTTTTAAGCACCCTCAAAACATACACACATACGGTACGTCAAGTAAGTCAATGGTACCAGACATTTTTCAGTCGTTTTGGGTCATTTCTTTTAGTCCATTCATCATGAGATTTACACACAATATAAGGGGAAACGTGCATTTTTAAAATATGTCAATTTTTTATGCACATTGACAGAAACAGCCTGTTTAGTTCTAAGGGATAAAAGAGGTTAGAAAATGATCATGTACAAAATGACTGTTTTTAGTACAAACATCTACACTAACAACAACAACAACAATAATAATAATAATAAAAAGTTGAGCTCATGTGGAAAAAAATAAAAGAGGGGTACAATGGTATTGGCCCTTTAATATTATGAAAAACGCATATTCAGTAAGGGGATGTACAAACTTTTGACTAGTAATTCATGTGGTTAAATCCAGAAAACAAAGTGAAAATCTAATACTTAGACTCGAACTAAGACCAGGACTGTTACTTTGCAAAAACGCCTCGAATGTGACTGGCCTCGGAAGCTGAGGTCACACCCAGAACCGGCAGGGATCCTATCAGCGTCTTCCTCTCTCCGCAGCCTCACTCAGAGCAGAGCGCCGGCGGGCGGCGAGTTCAGACGGTCCACACACTGGTGCATGCGTCCCTTCTGGGTCTACAGGCCTCCGCACACAGGCTTTGTAAGTAGCAAAGTATAGAAATGAGAGATACTAGTTGTAAATATATGATGTAGACGTTGGAAACACGGCAGGCGAAGAGAATTAAAGCGGACAGAAGATCCGCCGTCGTTCGGATTCGAACTTTTGCCGGCGCTTTGAAATCGAGCTGGTTAGCTGGACTGAGCCGAGCCGGATCACGCTTTACTGAGCGGTGGAGCCAACTAGCATTGGAGCATCTCCTATGTATATTCCAGGGGTTTTGCATCTTCTAAAGTTGTGGCAATAACTGTCCATTTGATGTATTTATTTGACTATTAATGCGCCATTGCAGTTACGTTAAACGGAGTTTCTGTCCTGCCCGAGGTAATTTGGCCTAATGTTAGTGGCGAAGGCGAGTTTTCACACATGGTCTCCGGTTCAAAGCGAAAGGCCGCTAGCTAGCATGCTAAGTAGCGGCATGCTGTTACGGCGCTTGCTGGCTAATTGGCTAACAAAGCGACTTGTCCGTGTAAGATATAGTGTTGCTGATCCCTCTAATCCACCTGATGAAACTGTTGGCTATCTAGATAAAGACTTCATTCACGCGCTGATACAACGACTTAAGTTAACCTCTACCGATATATTAGGTTAGCTAACCTGGCTACCAAATGGTTGTTAGCTAACTAGCTAGGTTAGTTAGGCTAGTTAAGGTAAGTTAATTCTGATGTGATAAGTAAACAGTGCACATGTCGGCGTCGAGCTAACTGAAGACAAACGAAGGTGTTTGCTTTCATCTGAGCGCTGCAGTGCCGCTGAAAGTAGCGTTTAGCCGCGCTTCAGTTGGATGACTAGTTAGCTGTGTAACGCTAACTGCTAGCTGCTACCCAGACACGGCGGTCCTTTTGCGGTTGGAAACTAGGCTAGATTAGATAGCGGAAGGTGACCACGAACCAGGTGGCACAGGTTTTTTGGGGATTAATGACAGTGCCCGGGACACTGAGCTCTTTGTTTGCCTGTATGGTTGTTCTCCTCCTCTCCATAAGCCTTCAGCACTGAAAAAAACACAAGGATACACCGACACACGAACACCTAACTTAAGCTCATTGGGACCATTATGTTACATTAGTTATGTAGTTAGCTTCTCCGGCGCGATTAACCAGGCCTCAAAGAGCACGACCAGTATTCGCGGTTAGGTCGTTATTCAGAAAGAACTATTTTATCTTGTCTTTGTTATTCGTTCACATATTAATCCAGCTCAGGCCGCTTTCACCACGTTTTCATTGTTTCCATGCAGTGACCAATCAGCGTTGAGAAGCGCTTCATTTATTTATATATTTCTTGTTCGTGTTTTATTGTTCCCGCAGACTGTTTCTCACTTTTGGTTGTTTGTGTAGGATGGAGTGGCAGCCGGATGAACAGGGACTCCAGCAGGTCCTTCAGCTCCTGAAAGACTCTCAGTCCCCAAACACAGCCACGCAGAGAGCTGTGCAGCAAGTATCCTTCTCAGTAAAAATACCGTTCTTGTCTGCATGCCAGCTGTACCAAAACTGTAGTCCTGCAGATGAATCCTCAGGCTGGGTAGAGCCTCATCTTGGGCAGGAGCAGTCTCTGCTTGCACAAATGTTAGCCAGTTTGCTTGCGAGCTACCTACATTAGCTAGCTAGCTGAAGTGTTTTTGAGGTAGCTCTAATTAACGTCAGGTAAAAACATCCATTAAGGGGCAGTTACAGTTTTTACTTCTGTAAGTAAACCATTAAGGTGTAATCAGTTATTTGTAGTGCATTGCAGAGCAACATACAGACTTAAATTTCGTTATAGTGGTGGTGATTGGAACCAGGGGTCACAACATTTACAACACACATGGTTATCACATGGTTATTTACTATCCAAAGTGCTCAGCAAACCTACAAGAGTTGTTTTTTTCCCCCAATATGCAGTGTTGATTGATTAGTCGCCCAAACATATTAGTTAATGTAAGTTTAGTGTTATGGTTATTTACGTTTCTAGCCATGTTTAGCTGGTGTAGTTTGACCCTTCAAAATAAAAAGGTTAAGGTTAAAGGCATACACCCAATAATGTTGTCTAGTTGACATTAGTGATAGTTTTTTGACTTTATGTAATTATGTATCTGCATCATATCTGAAACAGTAAATCTGAATTTACATACTTTTATTTAATGCTAAAATGAACTTCCTCACCAACCATTCGGCTAACCCGTTTACTCATCCAAATAAAGGCTTTGCCCAGCCTGAGGCTCGGTCTGTGGGGTTGCAAAATTTTTGGGATGCTTTGTAATTGCTGTAATCTCACACTGTGTTTAAATTATGCTGCATTTTATCATCAACGTATAGTCTTTTTGCTTATGTTGTCTGATCTCTTTGGATGAGAATTACCATTACTAGCCACCGAGACGCTGTGATTTCAACAATTGCTGTAGCAGCTTTTGTGCTGTCGAGGCAGTCTAAAACACCCTCGCTGTGAATTACGGGTTTTCACATAATCAGTTACTATCATTATCACAGCTGGTGGAGCGTGAGTGTCAAAAGCGGTTTGATATGTTTGGCTCATGAATGCTCCTCCACAGTGCTTTTTTTCCCTTAACCGTGCCTTCAGAAACTGGAGCAGCTGAACCAGTTTCCTGACTTCAACAACTATCTCATCTTCGTCTTGACAAGACTGAAATCTGAGGGTAGGTCTCTCCATCTAAGACATGCTATTCAGTAAACAGGGTGAGTCAAAAGTCAGGAGCCAATCAAAATCTGCAAAATACTTAATTTGGTAATTGTCATCTGTTAGACTAATGAGATTCATGTAGCATTAAACATCTTCCAAGATGTTTGGTTGGATTTGCATCATAGATGCTTAATATACTTTATATTAAGATTAAAAGTGTGATATTTTCATTGATGCAGCATCTGTGTTTTACTATTTTGCATGTAAAGGCAAAGCTAATGTTACGTGTGCATTCACTTGTACATTTACCAAAGGCCCTAGAAATGTCCTGTGATTTCTGAGTGATTCATTCTGTGACAGCACCAGGTGCCTACTCGAGTCTGCCCTTGGCCTAACTTGCATCCCTTTCCTTCTTATTATTTGGCTTTTTTCCCTGTTCCTCTTTACCAGGCCCCTCTTATTTCTGCTTCTGTTCTGTTCTTTACCTTTTACCACTGCTTGTTTGTGGTGGCTTCGTATATCTTGTTTTGCTACTTTTATATGTTCACACTTCCATTTATAAAAACCAATTTTTGAGGACCTTTCTCCTCTTTGTCCCTCACAGATGAGCCAACACGTTCACTCAGTGGCTTGATTCTAAAGAACAATGTGAAGGCCCACTACCAGAACTTCCCTCCTGCAGTGGCAGACTTCATCAAGCAAGAATGTCTGAGCAACATTGGGGACCCATCCCCCCTCATTCGCGCTACCATCGGTGAGTCTAAGCTTGATATATGCATGTATTGCAGAGCGCTGCTTATTTTATTATTTTTTTTTTATTAATTGAATTTACTGACTACATTTAAAAAAAAAAAAAGTAATGTTCCTAAATGGTTCTTGTCGTGTTTGTAGTGTTCTAGAAAACTTAAGGTCTTCTTTCCTTTCAAATTTTTTATATGCCTGCTTCCTAACTGACACCTACTTGCTCCATATCTCTATTCACATACTAAATAAGGCCTCATCTAACTTGGCATTGTATTACTTCCTTGTGCTAAATGCAGAGTCTGTAGTGTGTGGATTAATGATTTATTCATGCTGCCAAAAGTTTAATGGCAGGCTATTCTGATGATGTGCTCTTTAGACTTTCCAGTAACCTATGCTTATAAAAGGCATCTAATGTTCCCTACCCAGGTATCCTGATCACAACCATCGCTTCTAAAGGGGAGCTGCAGACATGGCCTGAGCTGCTCCCTCAGCTCTGCAACTTGCTCAACTCTGAGGATTATAACACCTGTGAGGTCTGCACTGCCACCTCTCCATTCTCTTCCACCCCTCTTTCTTCTGCTGCTCCTCATAATCTCCTCATTTTTTTATTTAATCTGAAAGGAATGTACAATATATCTCTTGTTAATTATTACAATGTTGGCCTATTATTGGCTAGAGCTGGATATCTTTCAATATTTGATTACGGTACCAATACTGATAATTTGACTTAGAGAACCATTTTAATTGTAAACGATATTCTTAAATTATGAATGGAAATTTTGTTATGACTTAAACCACAAATGAGTGAGTGTTGTAGGAAGTAGGTATATTTGCTGACTTCTGCACACTAATCAAGAAGCCCTGAATGCTTATTGGCTCACTGATGCTATGACTGGCTGTTTTTGATATCAAATGAGACAATTATTTGATACTTAGTACTACTGAAGTAATTCGGTTGGTTTAATAAAGGCAATAAAGGACTTATTTATTTTCTATTCCCCTCCCTACTATTTGCATACTGACATTCCAGAAGGTTGTAATTTGCTATGAGCTTCCTGACCAACCTCACACCCTCCAAATCAGTTTCTGTGGGAGTTTGGTTAGAGCAAGATATTTATTAATAAATCATTTTGCTTGTGGCCTACTATGTTTGTGTGTTTGAATGCTGAGAAATGGCCATAATTTTCACCATATGCTTTTGCTTCCACTTCGACATGGTTTTGTGACCTGTGGTTTAACTCAGCTGTTTGTGTGTTCAGGGTTCATTTGGAGCTCTACAGAAGATCTGTGAGGATTCCTCAGAACTGTTGGACAGTGATGCCCTGAACCGACCTCTAAACATCATGATCCCCAAGTTCCTCCAGTTCTTCAAGCACTGTAGTCCCAAGATAAGGTCAGTTACAGGAGATCATACAATTATCTAGTATTCTGCTATAGCTGCGATGAATTTGGCACACCACTTCTGTGCTGTTGGGTATTTATGCTGTATTGCCTGTCGGTGATGGAATTGTTTTTTTTTTTTTTTTCCTATGCTCCTTGTCTACAGATCTCATGCCATTGCTTGTGTGAACCAGTTTATCATTGGAAGAGCTCAAGCTTTAATGGACAACATTGACACCTTTATTGAGGTAAGTACTGCTGGGTTTACTTTTCATTAGCTCTGGGAGAACAAAACTAGAGAGAACAGCAATTGGATGACTATAGTTTGCTCACTGTTTTTCTGTTTCTGACTCCGCTTTCCTGGGCTATGTCAGAGTCTGTTTGCGCTGGCTGCAGATGAGGACTCCGAGGTGAGGAAGAATGTATGTCGGGCGCTGGTCATGCTGCTTGAAGTCCGTATCGATCGGCTCATCCCACACATGCACAGCATCGTTCAGGTGAGCCTTCCTCTTCCCTGTGTTGGGTTTTTTCAAAAGTGGTGTAGAATTACAAATACAAATCTGAAGGTGGCAATTCAGCTGCTTTGATTTAGGAATGTTTTCTTGATGTCGCACAAAAATGTATCTCCATTTTTATTTTTATTCTTTAAATTTGGGTTGTGTTAAATTCTTTACGTTGTGTTAAGTTCATGATGAACGGGACAGGAGAAATGGTCCAAAATTACTTGTTACATTAGCTTCTATTATAAGTTACAAATTTTTTTCCTTCCCCTGTAAAGTTACCATTTTGCTCTGACAGCAGTCCAAGATTTTCCAAAATAAATGTTTGTATTTCACTACTGTGTAAATACTGCAGTAAAGTCCATACCCTGTGATAGATAGCATCAGCATGCGGAGCATTAGCTTTCACCTGATGCAGACCATTGTCACCTCATAAGAATGTATTTCTGCCTGTTGGTTTTATTCAGTTTATAAAGTAGTCTTCCCCAGAATGACTGTGACTAAAAAGCTGCTGGATGTTTTAACATTTTGACAAGCTTACACTCTTTGACTGACTGGCATGTTATCTTTGCTTTTCAGTACATGCTACAGCGTACACAGGACCCTGATGAGAACGTGGCTCTGGAGGCCTGTGAGTTTTGGCTCACCCTGGCTGAGCAGCCCATCTGTAAGGAGGTGCTATCTGGACACCTGGTTCAGTAAGTCATCGTTGATTGGGAATATCACAAGATGTGAAGTGGGGAATTAGTTCCTGTTGCTTTACATGGTACAGATTTGACCAGAATGCTTAATAGTACGTTTGTCACTGGCTGCTAGCCCTGCGGGCTGGAGACGGCCGATGTGTAGAGCATCTGCCACACATCCAGCCTGTCGCCATGGAGATGATGACATCAGAGTTCGTGACTGTTAGTGATGCTTTGAGTATTCATACTGTCTGATCCACAGCAGCCTGGCCCCGCACACCCATTAGCACCCTCAGTATCGTATGACATGGCTAATTTTGGAATTCCCTTCAGCATTCTCCTAGAGCTCTTAGAGAGATTGGGTTTTGTCATTGCATTCACTTGCAGTCATTGAAAGAAGCTTTGGGTACAATATAGAGACCTCATCAAACAAGGTAGTTTGGATCTAGTTAATGAGTTGCAGTACACTTATTTAAGTAGTGTGTGTGGTGATGCAGCCTATTAATCTAAATAGGGAGTCTAAATGCTGTGTGATGAATGATTACTGTGTTAGTTGTTACTCCATTACAGTCCTAAATCTGTTCTAAATCTGACCCCATTTAGACTGATTCCTATTCTGGTGAATGGAATGAAGTACTCTGAAATCGACATCATCTTGCTGAAGGTGAGTACACACGCTGCCATTTCAGTTGAAGACCTTTTAACTGAATATTTGACACATTCATGGCTGGGCAATGGGGATGACGATATCTTTTTGATCTTGAGACTCGTCTGTGATGTTTCATGTATTCATACTGTCTGACCCAAGGCCTCGCTCATATCTGCAGCTGTTAGACCTCCAAGGATTTGATCCTTGTTCCCAGCTGTGGGAATGGAGCCATTTCTGTGCTACTGAATGTTGATGCAACTGCGAACTACTACAGCTAATGTGCTCTTCTGCTAAAGTGTGTGGGTGGGAGGTGTAATTTCTCTTAACTCGTTTGACATGCGTTGTAGGCAGGTTTGTTGGAGAATGATTACACAGTTAAAATTAGACCTTGCTCTTAACACATTTAGATACATCGCTTCAGCCTAGTATCTAGTTACACACACGCATTTTTACAATGGCATTTAGCTTTCTGCTGTTATCCAGCTTTTAAATGCCGCTTAAGGTGAATCACTCAGCCCTGATGGAGTCAGTGTATTACAGGTACCATCTGCAATTATTTTGATGAAACCCCTTGACCCTCTATCCAAAAAACAAGAACAAGATTAAGGGTTTTTAGCACAGTTGTCTCTTTGACTGTTGTGACTAAAAGCCTATCCCTGTCTCTCTTTGACCTTGTACTTCTGTTTCAGGGTGACGTGGAGGAGGATGAGGCTATTCCAGACAGCGAGCAGGACATTAAACCCCGCTTCCACAAGTCCCGCACAGTCACACTGCAGCACGAAGGGGGCGAGGGAGAGGAGGGGGAGGATATTGACGAAGATGATGACGATGACGACGATACTCTTTCTGACTGGAACTTGCGTAAGTGGATACCTAAAGTCTTGGCTACAACAATAACAGTCGTTTTATCTACACTGTAAATATGTCTCTGAGTGGGTAAGATTGCTTCTCTTTTTAACTGTGTGCCCTCTTGGACTCCAGTGTGTCCATGGTGCCGAATCAAAACGTGCTTTAATAAACTAATACAATGCCATTTTGTTTACTTGGTGAGAACCTAACTGGTGTCAGTGGAGGTGACGACAACTTAAAACTTGATTGTCTGTGATCTTCAAGTATTCATACTGTCTGATCCACTGTGGCCAGTGTATCTCATCATAAATTTAAAACCGCAACTAGTTCAATAAGATGTGAAATTCACCCACTTCACTTTCCTAAACATATTGTTTTAGGGCTGTGAAACAGTTTGTTAACCGGTATCGCAATAGATGTCACAGGATGGTTGCAATATGCAAATGAGCCCTCTGACAGATCACAGAAGTGTGCTGTGAGTACCATGACCAACCACAGGGTTTCCAAATGAGTTGTGGGTGTTTTATTGAGCCAAGACGGGCACATGATCCAACAAATGTTATAGTTTTAGTCAAGACAATAGAGGCAGGTGAGATCTTTGATATTTTGATTGCAGTATGCCTTTCAATATAACCATCTTTCTTCTTCAGGTAAATGTTCAGCAGCAGCGCTGGACGTGTTGGCTAATGTTTTCCGGGACGAGTTGCTCCCCCATCTGCTCCCACTGTTGAAGGATCTGCTGTTCCACCCAGACTGGGTCATCAAGGAGTCTGGCATTCTGGTGCTGGGGGCCATCGCTGAGGGTAAGCTGAAGACTCAGGATTGGTTTACTGTCACGGGTATTCAGAATACAGGGCATTCAAAAATACATCAAAATGCTTATGATACACTCCTACATATATAAATAAAAGTACACTGGGCAATAGGGGAGTTAGGTTTTGCAAATACTAGACAAATACACCAGACAAGTAACAATAAATAAATAAATGGTCACAGTCCAGGTGTCTGGCAGTAAGCAAGGAGGTACACGACAGTAACTGTCAATAGCATTGCACTGTGGAAATACAGTGTAGGTGGGGTAGTATTGTGCAGAAATAATACAATGTAAGAAACCACATGTGAGGTAATACTGTGTACAGTAAACTATTAAATAGTAGTGTAACTTTGAAACAATACAATTCACCAGAATATGGTACAAATAAATGATATACGATATAAACAATTTATTAGCTAAACTATGCTACAAAATGTAGTAGTGCAGTGGAAAAAAGGGAAAAAAAAAAAACTAATGTCTGAAAGAACAAACGTCCACTGAGTTGTGTTGGAGTGGCAGACAGCCAAACGCTAACTTGTTCTTTGGTGTTTAGGACTGTAGCATTCTGGCTAATATGATGAGAGCTTAGTTAGCTGGCCGAATTTGCCACACAGCACAGGCTTTGTTCCAGCTGATGCTAAAATGACATCAGTTTGGAGGAAGTCTGAAAGATAAGTGACTTGTGTTGGAGTAAAAGCCGAAATCTGTTCTGAGGTGTGTAGCTCTTAGCTGTAATTATCATGCTTTGTTTTTTTTCTGGCTCTGATTTTTCCCTTTTTCTATTAGCGTCACCTATCAATGAGCCTCTTTGAAATATAGATGGGTGGAATATGTTTTTTTACTGTTCAGACCTGGAAAAGAAGTTTGATGTCACTTTTAAAATACCCTTTATGTTAAATACTGTGGTATGCCTTATTACCATAATACCACCTAACCCTAAAATACTGATTATTCACCAAACTATTGCTTTAAACGTTTTTCACTTTCTGTACAAAGTTTTAAATGACATGTTCTGTTAAGTTGCTGTCTCTTGCTCTCTTCCTCTCCATCACTGGTTTTCTTGTTATCTCTCTTTATAGGTTGTGTACAGGGCATGGTTCCATACCTGCCTGAGTTGATTCCTCACCTGATCCAGTGTCTGTGTGATAAGAAAGCTCTGGTTCGCTCCATCGCCTGCTGGACGCTGAGCCGCTACGCTCACTGGGTGGTCAGCCAGCCACCCGACGCCTACCTCAAACCCCTCATGACCGAGCTGCTCAAACGCATCCTTGATGGCAACAAGAGGGTGCAGGAGGCTGCCTGCAGGTGTGGTTCTGTTTAAAGATGTGGTCAAAATTGCTGTTTTCAAGGATCCTGTGAATTGTAGCTGTGGCTCCAAATATGAAGTTTAACCCTGTATAACAAATGTCCACAGTTTAAGTAAAAATATGTAGTGATTCCACTGCCACATTACTGCATCACAATATGTAGAAGACAGTGTTTTATCCAAGTAATGTGTTAAATTTGATTACTTTGGATCATGTGAACAACAATCTCACAAAGGACCATCTGTGATTGGTCAAGATGCTCACAGTGCACAGTAAACAATTTTATGTTGGTTGGAAAGTTCATTTGCATATTGCAGCCTTCTGCGGTGTCGGTATTGCACAGGTCAATATTGCTGTAATGATTAACAGTTGGTAATGGACAGCCCTATTGGTTGCAATCTAAAAGCTTGACTTCACGTTTCTCTTCTCTGTGTCTTTCCTGCAGTGCATTTGCAACTCTAGAGGAAGAGGCCTGTACTGAGCTGGTTCCCTATCTGGGCTTTATTCTGGACACACTTGTCTTTGCTTTTGGAAAATACCAGCACAAAAATCTTCTCATCTTGTATGATGCCATTGGAACATTGGCTGACTCTGTGGGCCACCATCTCAATCAGCCTGTGAGTTTTCTCTGTGTGTGTGTGTGTGGCCTTTTTTTTCCCCTTTCCCAAGCCTGAAGTGCTACACTAATACTGTTATGCAGTACTGATAAATGCAAAACATTTTTTACAAAACTGTACATTTGCTCAATCTTATTTTATCCACTCATCCTCATAGGAATATATCCAAAAGCTGATGCCCCCTCTCATCCAGAAATGGAATGAGTTGAAAGATGAAGACAAGGATCTGTTCCCTCTGTTGGAGGTGAGTGAGTTTGACTCATTTGTAGAATGGGAGGAATGCGGCAAGTCATCAAATAAGCAGTACCATGTAATAAAGTTGGAAGCTTCTCTTTGAGACTCTGTGTTTATCTGTCTAGTGTCTGTCCTCGGTGGCCACTGCTCTGCAGAGTGGCTTTCTGCCCTACTGTGAGCCAGTATACCAGCGCTGTGTCACCCTGGTTCAGAAAACCCTTGCTCAGGCAATGGTGAGTGTGTACGCAACCCTCATGGTCACTTTCCAAGCCTAAACTAGTTACTGCCATGCTCCCAATATTTACTGAATGTTTTTCAGCTTAGTGGTCGCCATGTATTTTTCTTCCTTTGTCTTAAGGTTGTAATTAATTCCGTTTTTAATTATTGAAATATTCAACCTTTTCCCCAAAATTTAATCATAAGTTAGTACTAGGGAACTGTTTTGCCTTAGAACACTTCACTGCCATGTTTGAGTTTCTGAGCTGTCCCTTGTCCTTGTGATGGAAGATGTATAATCAGCACCCAGAGCAGTACGAGGCTCCTGATAAGGACTTCATGATCGTGGCTCTGGACCTGCTCAGTGGACTGGCTGAGGGTTTGGGTGGCCATGTGGAGCAGCTGGTTGCTCGCAGCAACATCATGACTCTGCTTTTCCAGTGCATGCAGGTACACAGTGGATACGTAACTTTTGGTGGGAATAGAGAGCTTTATATTGAGAGTATATTGTGTATGTTTTGGAGGCTGAAGTGTTTATTGTGTCTGTAGGACACCATGCCAGAAGTGAGGCAGAGCTCTTTCGCGCTGCTGGGGGACCTGACCAAAGCCTGCTTCCTTCATGTTAAGCCCTGCATCGGTGAGAACTGCTTTTGCCATTGATCTCCCAAAGTCAGTTGCATATATTCATCAAAGAATGCTAATTTAGAAAGCTTGTTTATGGTTTTTGCCTAAATATGACTACATGGACAGATGAGTCCTGATCTTAGATCATTTGTGTGTGTGTAATTAGTATAAAGATCGTGTAAATACACATTAAGAAAAAGAACATAAATAAGGGATGCATCAATACCATACTGAATAACCTACTTAGAATTAAGTAGTTTTTTTGTGTAAATGAGTACGATGTAACTTAACAGGTAAAGTGTTAAAATCTAGCTGATTTTATGCTGCATTATCTAACTTGGATAGAGTAACGCTGTAGTGGAGAAGAGTGGGTTGTTCCACATCAGAAAACCACTTCTGTACAGCTGTAAGTAAAGTACGATTCGTAGGTTTGAATCTTTCAATAACAGCCTCTGTTGCACAGTGGCAGCAGGAATCACATCCGAGGCTAACACATCTAAAGAGCGGTGGAGTTTTACTTCTGAAGTCTTTTGTTTGGCTGGTTGAGCTGTAGTTGAATGTCGTCTGAAGCCAGACATATATTGTTATATTTTAGAAATGTTATTTTGTGACTCACACTGTACATTTGAATAGACCATCGTGTACGGACAAAGCCTATGATTTATATAAAACGTCCTGTCCTTGAACAATTTCAAATAATTCTGTTTCATTCAAAATAACAAGCTGTGCATAGAGTACTGAGCAGCACTGCTAACACTGAGCACTGAAGCTAAAACCAGGCTGTGATGTACACGGTAGGACAATATAGTCTCTTTACAGCCTATTTTACAAATCACCGTATTAGCGTGTATACCTCACTATTCTATTCAGTCGAACAGTCGGCACAGACAGACTTTGGTAGAAAATGTCCCCTTTTTTTCCACCTGCTTTGCTAGCCTGTGTCTCCCCACCTGTATTAGGGAAGCTGTTGTGATTGTATGTTTCAAAAGCGGGCTAAAATCAGTGTATAGTGTCTAGTGAGAATGTACCAAGGCAAACGATTTAAAGTAAAACATGGCTTTGTGTCCATCTGTCACAAAGTCAGTCATACTGCTCTGTGTAAGCAGACACTCCTTCACTGCCAGCTTGAGTCTTTTGTTTATTAGCACGGCAGTGTACGCTCGGTTTACGTCAAATGGTATTAGCGGTATTGAATGTTTGCATCAGTGAACTTTTATGGGTACGAGTAAATGAGTGCGGTATCGGCTTGATGGCAGTATTGGTATTGATGTATCCCTCTGTGTGTGTATGTGTGTGTTTTTGTACACATTTATATTGTCTTAAGATTTCACTGCCACTTTGGAACTACGAAGCATTTTCTGTATTTTATTGTAACTTCATTCTAAATGCTATACAGCTTTGTTTTTCAAACTGCTTACTAGCATTTTTTAACCTATACAATTACACAGTATAATGTATAATTATATATCTGCAACCCGTCTGGTTTTATTTCATTAGAAAAGACTGATTTCACCCTAAACATTTAAATAGTGATTTGAATGGTGGATGTGTGTAGTTAAACCCATTGCTGAATGTGTGAGGGTTGTCTGGCGGCATGGATTACTGATGGATCAGTGTTTTTGTCTGTACGCCTGCAGCTGAGTTCATGCCCATCCTGGGACTCAACCTGAACCCAGAGTTCATCTCGGTCTGTAACAACGCCACCTGGGCCATCGGTGAAATCTCCATACAGATGGGTGAGTTTAACTTGGTCTCTTGTGTGCCTGATCCTGTGGGGGACATGCATGTATTAGCATGGTCATTAGACAGCCAGTTACTTGGAATAAAGACACTGCATTTACCTGGGTTGGCGTTTCTCTGACAGACTGCATTGTCATTGAACAAACTGTTTTACTGCAATGCTCTCAGCTTAACAGTCTGTGCCATTTGGATTTGGCAAGACTCTAAGACAGCTGCTGTGAGAGAGTGTGTATGTGTGCGTATGTCCTCATAATCCTGCAGCTGGCACTTTTGAGCCTCTTAGTGAAGTGTGTGCATTGGTATTGGCATGGTAGACTGCAGGCAGGCTAGTGACAGTGTTTGGTGTCTCTACAGGCTCAAGTGACAGCAGGCAGGGAGCAGGTGACTGTTCAGGTGAGATAGGAAGGAAGTTTGGATTATTTTCTGTGACTCAGTAAAAACAGAGGCAAAACAGGCTGTTCTACCTTATTTAAAATGATCCTATGGAATACTGAACTGAGTGTTTACATATTTTCTATTCAATGCTGTCTGGAGTGTGTGAATTCTATAAACATCAGACGATCTCAAGACCTACTCAATTTTAGTGATTACATGAACTTATTATTTGCTGTATAAATTCATTCATTTTGCTTTTAAAAGTCTAATAGACAAGGCACAAAGGACATTTTCATAGTATGTAGTACAAACTGTTATGATGGAACCCATTTAATCAGGTGTTTTTTTTTTTGTTTTGTTTTGTTTTTTTTATTTATTTATTTATTTTTTTTTATTTATTTATTTTTTGGGGTCCACTGACAACTTCTGTATCAGGGTGTCCAGTGTTATCCACAAAGGGCTGATGTGGCTGTAGGTTTTCATTCCCACCAAGCAAGAGCACACCTCATCAACTGTTTTAAGACTGAGACCAACTGACTAAGCAAGCAGAATCAGGTGTGCTTCAGTTTAACTGAAACGAAAGCCTGTAGCCACACCAGCTGTTGGCGGATAAGATTGGGCACATCTGTTCTATATGATCAAGGTTTATGCATCTCAGTAACTGCTGAGTTTAACATATGCTCTACTAAAAAGCAGAGCTTGTCTAAAGCCAGAGATACACTGTGCCATTTTAAGCCCATTTTTTCACTTTTGGCTGTTGCCAACTCAACTTCTGTCAGGCTGAATTTCAGCATTCATTTAGCATTGTTTGATGTGGGGAGTGAGGGGGCTTGTGATTCCTGATTAACTGCTCAGACAAGCTTATCTTGCAGTTTAGCAGTCTGACAAACAGATTTCTCAAAGTTGCATGCAACCACAGCCACTGCCCCAACACAAGTTAAAACAAAATCTAAGCAAAAGCTTGATAAATTATGTGAAAGACCATTAATGCCAACTCTGCCCTTTGAGCGCTGCAATGCTCTGTGAGGACAGCAGCTAGCCTTGAGATTCGGATTTTACAGTGGCTGAAGCCATGGGTGTGTTTTCTACATTGCCATTGGATGCGGATTTTCCAAATGACTTTCTCATCTTTAAAATTTTCACTGTTGATTACCTCCGAAGATCCAGAGCCCAAAAAATTGTATTTGGGAAAGCCCTGCTTTATTGGAAATTGTCCATAGACCAAACTGTCTGTTGGGGGTTGTGTTTCATGCACAGCCTGTGAGTTGTGAACTGTTGAACAAGATTCCTCAATTCAGTGTATGACTGGTTTTAATCCCTGAATTAAGTTTCCTGTTATTCCAGATGGCTAACTAGCTATCATGCTCTCATGCAACAAAGAACATTAGCACTAAAATGTGTTTAGACTGTACCTGTACCAGACTTTTAATTCCACCAATTTGAACTCTAAAACAGAAGGAAATAACAATGCATACTTTGTTCATTTCTGGTTTCATAAGAGTGATGAATGTATCATTTGTGCAGCAGCCAGCATAAAGTTGACTGCATGTCAGTTTTAGTGGTGCTCAGTAGTGGCTGGATTTTTCCTTCTTTCCCAGCATTTACTGTAGCTGACTGCTGTTTTCTGTCTTGGCCTCAGGTGTAGAGATGGAGCCATATGTGGGGCTGGTTCTTAACCACCTGGTGGAGATTATAAACAGACCCAATACCCCCAAGACTCTATTGGAGAACACAGGTACTAAAACTACATGTGTCAATTATTTCCTGTTTCTTTTTGAGCCACATTGACCTCTGCAAGATGTTACAAAACACATTAGAAATCTGTTTCTGATTGTTTGAATGTGGGAGCAGGTGCGTTGTGGGTTAGCTGGTTCAATGCTATAATTGTACAGTTTTCTTCTGACACATTTTCTCTTTTTTTGCTGAAACAGCCATTACGATTGGTCGACTGGGATATGTTTGTCCTCAGGAGGTGGCACCCATGCTGCCACAGTTTATTCGACCTTGGTGAGTCTTTCTTTTCTTTTGTTTCTTCTCGTCCCTCCCCTTGTTGACAGTTTTAAATACTAGTTATAATGTTAAAGTGATTTTTCACCATTTAGTTGATTTGATGCATAAAATTATACATGCACATACAAAGGTTTCGGTGAAATGACATTTAGTTGATTTTCTAAGTGAAAATAATACACATCCTCTAAACACACTTGTGCACATTTAATGCACAAATACTGTTTATTTGTTAACATATGGGTGGTGGGGGGGTAAGGGTGGGGGTTGGGGAGTTAAGCATAAAATGTGGCCTGAGCAAAAGTTAGGGCACATTTTATGCTACATATCCCCAGATATGTTAAATACAAATTATACACTAAAACTGGTTGAAAATGGCATATTTAAGTTTGTTCCTAGTAGAGATTTTATTTTCGTTTTTATAAAATCGACAAAATGTAATTTGACCAGGGTGTTCAAACTTTTGCATAAGACTGTGTGTAATCAGTCTATAAATATTTAATTTACTGAAGCTCTTAAAAACTGGTGCTTTCTGTTTTCAGGTGCCAGTCGCTGAGAAACATCAGGGACAATGAGGAGAAAGATTCAGCCTTCAGAGGCATCTGTTTAATGATTGGGGTGAATCCTGGAGGTGTAGTGCAGGTGATCAAACAAATTCCATTGATTGTACCGTCATTATTTTTTTTTGTTTATTATTATTATAATTTTTTTAAATTAATTTTATTTATTTTTTATTCATTGCTTGGTTGTTTGGTTAACTGGTTGTGTGCATCTGTCTATAGGACTTTATTTTCTTTTGTGATGCTGTGGCCTCATGGATGAACCCGAAAGAAGATTTGAGGGATATGTTCTACAAGGTTTGCATCAACGAACAAATTTGCAATCTTTCTGTTTACTGAGAAATCAAAGGAGTCACTGTGTTAATTCACTGTTGCAGATCCTGCATGGCTTTAAGGACCAGGTTGGGGAGGAGAACTGGCAGCAGTTCTCTGAGCAGTTCCCCCCACAGCTGAAGGAGCGGCTGTCAGCCTGCTATGGCGTTTAGATGCGCCCCCCTAATTAACACAGGACACGCCTGTTAGGTACATAAACCTCCATAAACATTCATGTCCCGTCTTTATTGATTTTAATATTGGATTTCACATTGTTCATCATTAAAGCAGTAGTGTTGATGGTCAAATTCATTCAGTTTTGATTTAGCCAAAATGTAGAACATCAGCCAAGATATCTTTGGCATCTGTAGGTTGCTTCTTTAGTTTTGCACTGGAGTCTGGAAATCACACTTGGCCTCATAGCGTGTCGAGTTAAATTTCATACTTGCATATATAGTTTGACACTGTAGGTTACACTACCTTGAATCTGAATTTTGTATGCTAGACGTTTGTCAACTATTAAACTAATTTAAAACATGCAGCAATTTAACATATCAAGATGTAACCTTACAACAAAGTTTGTTGTAGGTGGTGCTACTGTGACTTTTCTCTTCCCCTTTTCAAAATCAGAGAAGGGGTCTCAAACAGTCACCCCACAGGACCCAAGCCCACAAGGCAGCTTCATATAGTTCATGTTGACAACTTAGCCTTAAATCCAGCCTTATTTATTTTTTTATTATTATTTATTTTTAATATCATAAGCTGACCCCCTTTGGGAGGACCACGTTGCTTGTGGCCCCCAGGTAATTGAAATTTGCAATCCCTGCTTTTAAAGGTATAGTCTGTGTGGCAATATCTAGTTAGAAATTAGTGGCAGTATTCTGTTTAAACATCAAGGCAAAAGATTTGGGCATGAAGTTTGCAAGATGTTGGTGGATTTACATAAGTTTTCATCATTCATTGGTTACTTATTTTGTAGCTCCAGTGCAAAACTAGATCAACTTACTCTAGACACCAAACATGTCTTGACTTTTGCAGAACTTCTAATAAAGTACAGTCATGGATAAAAATATAGTCATAGATAAAAACGCAAATTCTGACAGTGCAGCATATTCCAAGACACTAGTATTGTGTGGTATAAAGTCTGAAACGTTCCTAATGTTTCTCCTCTGTTGCTCTTCAGGTCTAATCTACGGGAGGGTTACTGGGGAACTCATCCATGTCTGTGTATTGCACTGCCCTGCTGTTGGAGGGGGGAAGAACGGCGCAATGGTCTGTGTGTCGGGGCGGCCCCGCACCCTGTGTCTCTGTGAGGGAGGGTGGGAAAGGGTGGGAAGGGGGTTAGGGGGAACCAACCTCTGCAACAAACTCCGCGATTTAGCATCCCACGCGGTTGGAGTAGGAATTTTAAGACTAAAAAAAAATAAACGGAAGCAAAAGGGATCTAGGCTGGGATAGATGGGGAGAGGGAGGGAGATAGGTAGGAACGCCTTGCCAGCTGATAACTCCACTGCTCTCTTCAGTGCTGGAGGAGAGTGCTAACGGGAGGGGGGAGGGCTGGGTAGCACCAAACGCGCCCACCAATAGTACAGTCTAGTCAAGCCCTGGCACCTCAGCTAGACGCCTATAGCACACAAAGCGCGTTATGTAGACCCGCACACTTTTTAGACGAAGCTTAAGGCAAATCTCTTTTTGCCTGGGCAACATTTTGTGTACCCTAACGCATACAAACAATATCTTAAGAGCTATCTGTTGAACACATCAGTACTATAATCTTTTTAAACCACAGGGATTAATGGCTAGAGGTAAAGCACGAGATGCTTACAATAATAGGGAGAAATAAATTTCACCTTTTTAAATATGCGATCATTACTTGTCAGTAAGTACAGTGCATATAGTCTCGCTTTCAGGCTGTGTATTGCATCTTTCCAGGCCGTTCATTGTCGTTACTGCTCTGTAACTTGGCCGGAACTTGGTTTTAACTTAAGTTTCATATTTCTCCCCATCAAGAAAGTGCTCCACTGTGTTTTGTGTTGACCCCCTAGTTCTGCTGTAACCAGAACAACTTTCAGGAACTGTAACTATAGTGCTGAGTGTTTTCACTTTTCTTCTGCTTGCTCAGATAAGGGAATGAGAAAATGGTTTGCATGAACTCCAGACCCTTGGAGAAATCAGTGCAATGTGTCAGTTTTTCTGTCCCTTTTCCTCCCTCCTTTTAATTTCTTTTAAAGATGAACATGCAGTGTTAGCAGGCTTAGCTTTAATAGTGACTTTTTTCCCCCATTTAGGACAGTGTGGGTCAGTGTTCTGTTGTCTTTCAGCAGTAGTACGTCCCGTCGTGAGCCGTGTTTTTCGCATCTTGCTGTGCTCCTCTGAAAAACCATATTGCAGCCTGACCTTCCTGTAGAGCAAAAGAATGTGCTGCTAGTGCTTAAAAAGTATGTTATAAAATTAAACAATAGTCAGTAAGAAACCAAATGAGTGGTTTTAATGCACTTTGTTAGGGAGTTTCATGCTTACAGACAGCAATCCTGCGGACTTATATAGGCTATATTTGTTAAGGTTGTTGGTTAATGGCATGTTTCAGAACATGACACTATTATAAACAATGATAAACAAAAGATTGATGGTGCGCAGTGCATTGAGATTATTTCTACATGGTCAGTTTAGGTGGTAGTCTTATATTGGCATCATTTTAAAGAAGCTGGAAGGTTTATACATCTGATAAAGCCACGTGTAGGTATGTGCATCACCTTGATATGTAATGAACAAAATTTAAGAGAATAGTTTAAGTCTAAATTACGGTAAGGTTAACATCTGCTCTGTGTTGAATGGTAAATTCATCAGTTTTACCCAGTGCACCACAACTTGACGTGTAGCTTAAGGGCAAATGGGTAATGTAAAATTGGATTATGAATAAGAAAACTTGGTGGTTAATTTGGTCCCCTTGTGTAGCTGTGAATAGGTTGTAGAATTAATTGATTAATAGATTAATTCACTGATGCTGATGTTAGGATGTAATTTGGAGTCTTTTGGGTTTTTTGGCCTTTACTATAAAGCTTAGACACAAAGGTACATGTTTGAGAGATGTAGAGAATTGCACTGGCTTTCTCCCAGGTGAGGTTTTTATTTATTTTTTTGTTTTTTACTTCCTCCTTTTATTCTCTTTTAAAACAGAGCCCATTGTCAACACTTGCAGTTCATTTACCATATCTTGTTTTCTGTCCTGGACTAATTTTAACCGAGGCCTTATAGCATAGACATAAAGGATTATCTCTGCACAAACTATATGGCTAATTACTTGTACCAAAAAAGTAACAAAAAGCAGAGGTTCTCATGAAAGCCATGAAAGCAATAGCCATGTCTCTGCTAGTATAGATGCACGTTTGTCTTTAAGGTGCACCTGGTTTGCAATTGTCCATTCGAACTGAACATGATTGTGAAAAGTGAGTGAAGTGGAACCTCACTGTTCTTTTTGAAAATGCCTTGGTGTACCTTTCAAGATCTCTTTTGCTCATTTAATAACAGCCTTGACAATCTAATTTTAGCTTTCTACACTTTTGTAAATTGCTCCTTCCTCAGGACTTGAGCTCTATAAATGGGTAAATGACTGTGCAAGTGTTGCTCGATAGGCAGTCAAAAAGTTTAGGGTGGGGTTACACCAATTAACAATTCACACATGGCAGTTTTTCATATACACGAGCAAATATTCCAAGTCCCGTTTCTCATTAACAAGCAAGATATTTACATTAAATTTCAGAAGTATTTGATTTTTAGGCGGAACGTTCTTTTCAGAGTGTTAATGCTGACCGAACTGGTGGACTTGAACAAAAACTCTGTTCTGGAAGTACTGTGAACCACTCGATGTGGAGCCAAATTTGCTCCCAATTACCAAGAAATGTATTTTAAAGAAAGTAAAACACTCATTTTTCTGCAGAATATCAATTGTCCTCAAGACTTTTTTTAAGTTAGTTTTTTCATTTTATTTTAAATTTCATACTGTTATTTATTTTGTTTTTTTTCTTTTTGTATTTTTTGTGCTTCTACGCACAAAGATTTTTTTAGACTTTAAAAGTTTTATTATTTTGTTTTTGTTTTAAAGAATTTTGTTTTTGTTGTTTTTATATCAACCAATTGTCATGCATTTTTTTTCTTTTCTTTTTAAATCAACCAATTCCAACAAAGAATAGGATGGAAGGAGGGGAAATGCATTTGAGCCTGTACTGTGTACTTAGGAGAAAATCTGCTGAATGATTTAAGAAGTAGGTTTTTGTTTTGTTTTTTTTTTTTTTTTTTTTTTTTTTTTTCCTTCCTCTTCCACACTGTGGTGCAAACTCATTTATCTCTCATCACTTTCTATTTTAATTCTGTGAAATGGGGAAATAAATTCTTTTCTACCAACTGGGAAACAAAGGTACGGTGTGCTTTTATTGTAGTACTTTTTTGGTCTGTCCCTCATCCGGTTGGATGTGTCTGTATTACAGTGGAGCTGTTTTTAGTGATTTTGCGTTCTGTATCTGTTTATTTGGTCTTTCAGTAACTCGGCATCCATGAAATGTGTATGTTCAAGCACGGGGCAGATTCAGTATGGTTCAGTGCATATGGACCGCATTAGTTTGATTGTGATTAACACTTGATCGCTTCATTTTTGTAAAATCTGATAAAAAAAAATAAAGCCGGAAAAAGATGTTTTGTGATCAAGAATTCATTAAGAATGCTAAAGGTTCTAGGAAACATTGTTTATGGTAATCTAGTACTTCATTTGTTCACCCGTCGAATGCCTTTGTCTGCATGTAATAGCGATGATAGCATAGCTATTTCATTACTCTTTAATTAGCTATTTACTTGCATGCACTTTACACCAATAATACACCAACTATTGCTTTCTTTTACAGTCAACTGCTATTAGTTTTCTTATCTGTTTTAGAACATGTAAATGATCTCCCTTTTCCTCACTGATGCAATACAATATTGCATTTTGTGATTGAATAATATGATGAATACTGAACAACACAGGTGAATTAAGTCAACAGGTATCATTTATTTAAAACTTAAAGCTGTTCTAGTACACTGTCAGCCCTGTTTCCTTTTAAGTAACAAGGCTGACGTTTCAAGTTGTCAGTTCTATTGTAAAATGTATTCAGAATACAGAGCATTCAAAATTACAATAGAATTTCAGCAGCGCACTCCTACAGGTAACATGCAACAAAGTGCATAGGGTGGGGGGGGGCAACAAGGGATAGGCAGGGGTTTTGGACGTACAACCCGTGCGTCAAACATCAGGCCCGTGACACAATCGTATCCAGCCTGCAAAAGTATTTTAATTTTCTGTTAATGGTAGCCTGTTTCACAATGTGCTGCACTACAGCCCCCAGCATGCACTGCAGTGTAATGTGTTTCTGACTCTCCTACCTCAGCAAGAATCTATGGGCCAGCAGTTACACCTCAATTCTATGCAATTCTGCGCAATTCCACACCAGTCATATCACCAAAATGCATTTCAATCAATATAGACACTTCACATTAGCTCAGCAGCTGGAAATTGAGCCCAAGTGTTTATGAACTTATAGCAAAGAAAGGATGCCAGCAAATAGGTAGGTTTAAAAGACATAGCACCTGGGGACATTTAAATTTGGAATATTTCAAGGTCTATTATAAATATCTATATTTTACTAGTGATGTCTTTGTATATTTTGAATAAACAATGGCCAGTTCACAACATAACACAACACAACATTAATTGAGAATGAAATACAAAATTTTTTTTCTCTGGCCCACAGATTTGGTGAGATGTTTTATATAAATGGCCCTTTTAGTTGTTGAGTTTGACACCCATGACATACAAACAGAAAACTGCACAAATAAGGCAGTATATCACAATACAAGCAAGAGCACAAAACAGCACAATGTCTGAGTTCAATAACAAATAGCTAAATAAATATGCAAAAATGAATGTAAGGTGTAGTGTAGAATAATACCACATAACAGACCATAAAATAATGTTATATGTGCTGAATATTATATATCGTGTGTGAGGTAATACAGTATACTATGTTGTGGTACAGTGTGATATAATACAAACTAAAGCAATTTCTGGCCTGAGTCAGCCATTTCTCATCAAGAACAATGGAACAGTTGGCATAAATGTATGTAAAATTTAATCTATCAATAAAACTTTAAAACGTGTGAAATATTTCTACATCCTCAAAACATAGTTCACAGCTTGTGGGATTGTGACCAGCAGCAGACATGAAAACATTAAGCAGATAAAATAAGATTAGGAAACCTACTTTCTCTCTTCAGCTCCATCAGAGATCATGAATCCTTTATGAATCCTTTATGGAAAATATTATTTACCAATAATCCTCCCCATCAGTCTGCACTTTGGAATTACAGGGATATCACTTTGAATCACTTGAAAGTCTCTCTTTAACGCTGACTGGTTCGAAAGAGGAATCATCTTTATCCAGGGTTTACCGGACACTGAAGGGTGTTTCTTGTCTTTTAAATATTTTATTGTAAAACATGGTGTAAAGTCTACTTGCAAGGGCTTTAAGAAGATCTGTAAAACAATTCCCACAGCTTTGCTAAGTCTCATTCAAAGATATCTTCAAATTGCCTATTTTGAAAGTCTCTAATTTAGACATGTTTGATTCAAATTTATATGTAATGAGTTTAAAAGCATTAATGTTTTATCTGTCATTTTTGGCTGCTTCTGAGGTTAAAGAGACTCAAACTGCTGTAGAGACAACAGTACACTTTCACTGTGGATAAATACTCTTAAAAATGGTTCTGCAAGGGTTCTTTAGTAAAGAAAAGTCAAGCTTGTAACAATAGCAGAACCCTTTTCAAAAAGGTTCTATATATAACCACATACAGCACATTCTCTATCAATCTGAAGAACCATTTCATGATGCAAAAGCATGCAAATGGTTCTTTGAGTGTTCATTGTTGTATATAGAATCATTGTCTTTACTAAAGAACCCTTGAAGAACCATCTTTTTTAAGAGTGTACCATCTGTTTTTGCCCTGCATCCTTTCAGTGTGTTGTAATGCCACTTGTGTAGTGTCACTGTTTTCTTTTATGTATTTTCTATTGACTATTTCCCCCTTTTGCTCTGTCAATTTTTGTCAACACAATAAAATGCATTTTTAAAAATCATGAGGTCTTGCTTTTATTCCCACTAAGAAAATAATGCAATTTCCTCAAAATCATGTGACTTATCTGCAGAGAACAAACTTAAATATGGCATTTTTTTCTGCACAATTTCTGTTTATTTGCTGATACGTTTTGGGGGAAAAAAACGTGAACTTTTGCACAGGCCATATTTTATGTTCTACTGTATTTTCTCACAGTATTTTCGCTAAATGATCAACACATGAATTTGACCCAAACTTTTGCATTCAGGTGTGATTACCACATAAGAAATAGTTTTTACATATTTAAAAAATAACTTTCAACCGAGTAACTTACGTTCAGATGTTGCCGTCGCAGCTCTGGGTGCAGCGGAGTTCACTGCTCTGCTCTGAGCGCTCAAAGTGTGCGGCTGCGCTCTGAGGGTTTGGGCGCCCAACCTGAACTCCACTCTCTCCTTCAAGTGCAGAGGAACTAGCGAGCTAGCTTCGGAAAATAGGATGGGACCCTCAACACAGACTGTTTTACTCTTTAGTTATTTGACATGTGCCCCTAAGCTTGCTACTCAATAATGCGGACCTGAAAACGTCAGTTTTCCAACAGCTTCTTGAAAATTACCCGTTATATTCATCATTTTGGTTTGTTGTTTTAGTTAGCCAGTTAGCTAGCTAGCTAGCCATCATATGACTGGCTAGCTAGTCAGCAACGTATTTGACGAGTAGTCCATAAAGGAAGTGTCAGCACATCAGCTGAAGAGGACAGGTGAGTGGTCGCTCCTGTAATCGCTGATTTAGGTTGTTTTTACGTGTCACGTAATTGCCACGTAATATCAGCTTGAGACGTAACTGGCTGGAGACTGGAGCTAAGCTAAACTGGCTAATCAGTCGTGTACGCGGTTTCTCCATACGTTACCCAAAGCGTATGTAAGCTGAAAATGTCCTAAAAATGTGAATTTGTTATATTTTGTCAGAATAGCTGAGCAGCATGTTAAAGGTTATATTTGTGGTCAGATGTTGATTGATACAGTGTAGTATTCATGTATACAATCCGTGTCAAAGTGACTGAACACTTCAGAGAACTCACTGCTAACGCTGAAGTTAAATGAATCTCCAGGTAAAGTTAACTGACGTTCATCTTCCCTCAGGTTCTCCACCGTTGTGCTTTGAGTCGGACTGGACCAGCCTGTATCACCATGGCTGGTGGCATTACAGAGACGGGAGAGCCATACTCACCTTTTGTAAGTGTTTTATGTTGAGCTGGGTTCTCTCCTGGAGCCCAGTTAAGTCATTATGTTACTGTACCCAGAATTTGTCCATGTGAGGAAAGTTGGTTTATAGAAAAAAATGTAGATTTTAAATTGGGTAAGTATTGGCCGACTGTTGTGAGAGCAAACTGTAACCTTAACTCGCTGTGGTGGTCTCTGGAGATGATGTACCTAAAGAAAATGTACCTCCTGCCTCTCTTACTGTGCAACGGTTTGAAGACCTGTGTACAGGGGTGGCCAATATGATGATATTTTATCGTCACAAACAGCAAAAGTGAACAGTGCATTAGGGAGCTGCGTATAGTAAGGGATATATGTCTGGGTATTTGTGCTTACTGTCCTGTTGTTGATTATGTAAGCTGAGATGAGAGTGTCTGAGTCCGTATGAGCACCCTTTGCAGATTGACCTGTGTGGTTTTTGTCTTTGGCAAACAAACCATTTCTGTTACATTCAGGCAAAGTTAGCACATATCTTAGTCATCTGATTATTGCTTTTCATATTTTCATGTTATTTTATTTGCTTTTTTGGGTCTCTGCTTTATTTTCCGTATCCCTGTTGTCTTTTTGTGCTTTTAGTTCCTGTTTCATGTTGATTTTATTTCATATTGTTTTATTTGTCCTCCTTATTCTGTTTTATACTTCTGCTTTCCTTTTTTGTTTTATTATCCTTATATTTTTAATTTCAAACACCTTTTGTACAGCGTCAGTTGTTTTTAAACATGCTTTATAAATTATTTACTTACTTTTTTTTGAAAAGACAGTGCAGTTGTCTACAGCATTTTATGAGTAACGTTAAAAGTTCATTTATGTAAGTTGTCAAGAAGTTGACCATTTCCTCAGTAGAAGTGCAGGCTTGGCAAAACATCAAAGAAGAGTTGTTGGTGTTGGTCATGGTGGTGTTTTTGTTTTGTTTTCATTTTGTTTTTGTTTTAAACATTCAAAAACACAATGATCACAAAACTGTTTCAAACATAAGCAGCTGTTATTGTTACTTTTGTCAGCACAGACTG